TTGACGGTTTTCCGATGGCTTCCTCCTCGGGATACGTGCGTTTACGAGCGTTTTGGGGGCGGGGCGCGAGGGTGAGGCGAGCGCGCTGGTGCCTCCTGCGTCTGGAGGCCGGAGGGAGGAGTCCGGCTCGGAATCTTCGCCTCCGAGAGAGAGAGAGAGGGAGAGGGAGGAGGGAGAGGGAGAGGGAGAGGGAGAGGGAGAGGGAGAGGGAGGGAGAGGAGACGGAGGGTAGGGAGGAAGGAGAGGGAGAGGAAGAAGAAGAAGGCACCTGACGGGCAAACTCCTCCGGCGAAGCATGCCGTGTACTTTGTGGGGTTCCGGGTGGTCAGGAAGAGGAAGAAGAAGAGAGTAGGAGGTGGAGGAGGAGGAGGAGGAAAGGAAGAAGAAGAAGAAGAAGAAGAAGAAGAAGAAGAAAAGAGAAGAAGAAGAAAAAAAAAGAAAAGAAAAGAAGAAGAAAAAGAAGAAGAAAAAAGAAAAAAAAAAAAGAAAAAAGAAAGAAGAAGAGGAGGAAGAAGGGAAGAAGAGAGAGAAGAAGAGGAAGAAGAGGAGAAGAAGAAGAAGAAGAAGAAGAAGAAGAAGAAGAAGAAGAAGAAGAAGAAGAAGAAGAGAAGAAGGAGGAGGAGGAGGAGGAGGAGGAGGGGAGGAGGGAGGCGCTGGCTGGGGGTGTGTTAACTTCTTCCAAGTTGCAATGGATTCTGAGACGTATGTGGGACCTCGCGCCGCGCGTCGAGCATTTCCTCCTCGTCGCCGCAGGGATCGCTCGCCGACGGGTGGGAGGGGGGGGGAGGGGAGGGGGCATCGATGCGGCTGAGGTGGGCGAGGAGGGGTTTATGATCTGTTTGTTTTGTTGTTGTTGTTATTGATTTGATTATTATTATTATTTATTATTATTATTATTATTATTATTATTATTATTATTACTGGTGATACCATTGCTTTTATTATTGTTATATTATTATTATTATTATTATTATCGTTTTATTGTTATTATCATTACATTATTATGATGATGATTATTATTTATTATTATAATATTATTATTATTATTATTATTATTATTATCTCCGCCAAGGAAATTATGTTTTTGGCAGCGTTGCTTAGTTTTGGGTTAGCTGGTTTACAATATAACGCAAAAAAGTTGTGCATAGATATTTTATGATTTTTTTTACCAAAGGTGTAACTCGGCCCAACTTAGATTGCCATTAAATTTCGGTGGCGATTCGGATCATGATCGGGATCCAGGATTTTTTTTTAAAGGATTCTTTAGCTTTGCGAGAGAGGAAAAGACGGCGTCACTTGTGTACTTGTGAAAGAGGTGATTTTAATGTAATTCTTCCAAGTGTGAGTATTTTCTCTGCCTCAGTGGCGCTATTGCTCTGACGGAGGTATTTTATTATGTTATTTAATTATATTATTTAGTATTTTATTTATATTATTTATTTATATTTATTTTATTTATATTATTAAAATATTTAGTATTTTATTATATTATTTAATTATACTATTAGGTTATTGATGTTGTCATCGTCATAGCCATTTTTGTCATTATTATTCATGTTAATTGATGGATATGCAATTACGTTTTTTAATCATTTCCACAGTTGGAGAGGCACGCTTAGTGTCATTCATTTTCCTCATCGACGTGCATACAAACAGCCAATTAACAAATGCCATATAAATCTGACGTGCATGTTTTGTTAAACGGTAAACAAAGACATCTTTTGACGCGACACCCACGACCTCGCACGCGGCAGCAAATACCGCTTTCATTTAAAAAAAAACTGGGGTATCCACAAAAAGAAAAAAAAGAAGATAGAAAAAAATAGAAAAAAAAGGAAAAAAAATAGAAAAAAAGAAAGGAAAATAGATAGAAAAATATAAAAAAAGAGAAAAAAGGACTTGTTTTGCGTCCCAGCCAGTCCCGATGCCATGTACACATCCGCGAGCAACATGAATAAAACCAGGAGGTGGGGTGGGGATGGGGGTTGGGGGTGGGGGGAGGGGGGTGAGCATCGCCGGCCTGTGCACTCGCAAACACAAAACACGCACATTCTTTCAATCCCGTCCCCGCGTGAATTTGCATAAGAAGAAGAAGAAGAAGAAGGAGGAGAAGAAAAGGGCGGGGGGGAGGGATATGGTGAAAGGGAAGAGGGTCGTAGGAGTTGGTTGAGGTTATCAGGAGAGAGGAGGGCAGGAGAGGGGAAGAAAGGAGAGGAGGGGAGGGGAGAGGGAAGGAGAGGAAGGAGGGGGAGAAGAGGGGGAGAGAAGAGAAGAGAGGGATGGGAGGGAGAGTGAAGAGGGAGAGAAGGAGAGAGAGAGAAGAGGGAGGGAGAGAGGGAGAGAGAGAGAAAGGGGAGAAGGAGAGGAAGGGGAAGGGCGGGAGGGAGAGAGAGAGGGAGGAGAGAGAGAGAGGTGATGAGAGAGGGGAGAGAAGTGAGAGGAGGGAGAGAGAAGAGGAGTCAGTCAGAGGAGGGTTCGTGGTCTAGTGTTTCGTTCCTTGCCCAAGGGCCTCATCCTCACTCCGCCTTCCTCTCTCTCTCTTTCACTCATCTCCTTCTCTCCTCTCCTCTCCTGTTATCTCATCTCATCTCATGTCCTGTCTCTTCATCCCTCATTCCTTCTTTTCTCTTCTCTTTTATCTTCCTCCCCTCCCTTCCTCCTCCTCTCTCCTCTCCATCACCTCCCTTCTCACGTCCCTCTCTTTCTCCATCCCCTCCCCCTCTCTCTCCTCTCTCTCTCTCTCTCTCTCTCTCTCTCTCTCTCTCTCTCTCTCTCTCTCTCTCTTCTCTCTCTCTCTCCTCTCTCTCTCTCTCTCTCTTCTCTCCCTCTCTCTCCCTCTTCTCTCTCTCTCCCTCTCCTCTCTCTCTCTCTCTCTCTCTCTCTCTCTCTCTCTCTCTCTCTCTCTCTCTCTCTCTCTTCTCTCCTCTCTCCTCTCTCTCTCTCTCTCTCTCTCTCTCTCTCTCTCTCTCTTCTCTCTCTCTCTCTCTCTCTCTCTCTCTCTCTCTCTCTCTCTCTCTCTCTCTCTCTCTCTCTCTCTCTCTCTCTCTTTCTTCTCTCTGTCTCCCTCCTCTCCTCTTCCCCTTCCCCCTCCCTCTTTCCCCTCCCCCTCCTCTCCCCTCCTCCTCCCTCTCCCCTCCCTCCCCTCCCTCTCCCTCTTCCTCTCTCCCTCTCCCCTTCCACCTCGGCGCCCGTCATCCCCTGTCCTGTCACCTGGCAATCAGACTCGCATTTTTTATCGCGTTCCTCTCGCTGTTGCATCCGTTTAAAGGGACCGGCTGTATGTTGCAGCCTCGGCGAAAATGACTGCTGGGATGGAGCCGCGCTGGTTACGGGGGGGGTGGGTTGGGGGTGGGGAGTCAGCGGTGTGGGGCCGGGGGGAGGGGGGGCCCGGTGTGGGGCCGGGGGGGGAGGGGGGAGTCAGCGGTTCGGGGCCGGGGGGGGGGGGGAGTCAGCGGTTCGGGGCCGGGGGGGGGAGTCAGCGGTGTGGGTGGGGTGGGGGTGGGTGTGTGGGAGGGGGGGACTCGAGGCAGGAGAGGACGTGTTCAGGAAGGGAACTGGCGTGAATCTCGGCGTTTCGTTGGGCAAGCTTGGTATCTCAAACAGGAGGAGGAGGTGGAGGGAGAAGAAGGAGAAGGAGACGAAAATAATAATAATGATAATAATCATAGTAATAATAATGATAATGATAATGATGATGTAATAATAATAATAATAATAATAATAATATAACGAGGATGATAATGATGATCTTTAATAATAGTAATAATAATAATGATGATAATAATAATAATAATAATAATAATGAGAATAGAAGGAGAAGGAACGGAGAAAAAAAAAAAGCTTCGCTTGGAGTCGAACTCCGTTTTGGTTTGATGATTTTTTTTTGCTTTTGTTTTTTGTTTTTGTCCTCTAAGGATTGTTAAGCCCTTGAGGTAGAGAGTTCCTCGAAGGAGACGAGAAGTTCACTCAGAACTCTCTTTTATTGTTATTATTATTTATTATGTCCATTCTCACGAGGCGCGAGTTGCGAGACAGTTCTCCTTTGGCAAGACGAGCGGGAAGGCGAGACTCTGCACGCGGCGAGATTTTGTATTGGACGAGAGACAGATGGGCGGCCCCCCTTTTCGAAGGTTTTCTTGTCCTCTTTAATGTGGGTATTTTGCTGGGTTTTATTCGGGGGAGGGGAGGGAAGGGAAGGGAGGGGGGAAGGGGGGGGAGGGGAGAGGGGAAGGGGAGAGGAGGGGAGGGGAGGGGAGGGAGGGGAGGGAAGGGAGGGGGGAGGGAAGGGGGGGGGGAGGAAGGGAAGGGAAGGGAGGAAGGGAAAGGAAGGAAGGAAAGGAAAAGGAAGGAAAGAAAGGGAAGGGAGGGAAGGGGAAGGGCAAAGGGAAGGGAAGGGGGAGGGGAGGAGGGGAGGGGAGGAAAGGAGGGGGGGGTAGACGAAGGGAGGGAGAGATATTTTTGTTCTTGATTATTTTGAAGGGTTGGGTAGGTCCGCTGTTTTTCGTTGGTGTCGGTTTATTGGTAATGGGATTGTTATGGTTCGTCAGTTTTATTGTTGTTGTTTCAGTAATGTAAATAATGATAATACTGACCACCACCATCAACACCACCACCACCACTGTCATCATTATCATTATCATCATCATTATCATCATCTTCATCTTCACCATCACTATCACCATCAATCATCACCATCAATTATCATCATTTTCTTCCCCTGTTGCCGTTTCGCCACGTGTCAGTGTCATCGCGTGCCTGGGTGAGATGAAGTGTCCTCTCGTGCCGTCTGATGGCGGAGTGATTTCGCAAAGGCTGGAATTAAGGGAACTCAAAGGGAGGGGCGTCGAGGGCCTGAGAGAGTGAGTGAGTGAGTGAGTGAGTGAGTGAGTGAGTGAGTGTGTGAGTGAGTGAGTGTGTGGGTGTGTGTGAGAAAGAGAGAGAGCACTGACCTATTACAAAGGCATCATCATAACCCCCCCTTTCCCTTCCTCCCGCAGCCGCAAGCAGCCCAAGACGTTCGCGTTCGACCACTGCTTCGACTCCCTGGCCGTCGAGAGCAGCGCCTTCGCCACGCAGGAAACGGTCTTCACGGCCGTCGGGGTCGACATCCTCAACAACGCCTTCACGGGCTACAACGCCTGCATCTTCGCCTACGGCCAGACCGGTACGTGGGCGTGGTTTTCCTCTTCGTGGCGTGGTTTTCCTCTTCGTGGGCGTGGTTTTCCTCTTCGTGGGCGTTTTTCCTCTTCGTGGGCGTGGTTTTCCTCTTCCAGATCTTCGCTCTTGTGGGCGGGGGTGGTGATGGGCGGTGAGGTTTGGCTGTGGTTGCAGTGGAGATGATCGGCCGGTTTGTTAAAATTCTGCGAGGTCCGACCCACTTAATATTAATAAATACGGACATGCATATGTGAAGAAAAAATGCATATCTGTCAGTCTAGACGTGCGCATCAACCGGGCAGATAGATAGGTGAATGTGTATCTTTCAGGTTGATAGACAGGTGTGCATTTATTTCTATGCGTGTATGCATGCCCGTGTTTGTGAATATTCATTGGGTCTCGCAAAACAAACCGGCCGGATGTGTTTCATCGTGACACTGTTATCAGCGACGTTTATTACCGGCCGTAATTTCATTTCGCTAGCACTGCCATTATCATTACTCGTCCCATTAATTTACGGCCGTCATCATCTTTGCAGTAAAAAAAAATAGTAGAAAAGAGTAGAAAATAGTCGCGAGAACAGTTTTCTTCGTGGTCAGTGCCAAGGGCTTCTCCCCATGGCCTCGAGACCGCGATCCGGACCCATATATAGTGGCACCTTTCCCTCGTGGTGCACGGTTGGTTCCTCTGCACTATCCATCTCTCTCTTGCACGGTTCCCCACGCGGTGGTTCCCCTCGCGGTTCCTCTGCACTATCCATCTCTCTCTTGCACGGTTCCCCACGCGGTTCCTCTGCACTATCCATCTCTCTCTTGCACGGTTCCCACGTGGTTCCTCTGCACTATCTCTCTCTCTTGCACGGTTCCCCACGTGGTTCCTCTGCACTATCTCTCTCTTGCACGGTTCCCACGTGGTTCCTCTGCACTATCCATCTCTCTCTTGCACGGTCCTCTGCTCCATCTCTCTCTTGCACGGTTCCCCACGTGGTTCCTCTGCACTATCCATCTCTCTCTTGCACGCCCCATTCCTCTGCACGGTTCTCCCCGGCTTCCCTTCCTCTGCACTATCTCTCTCTTGCACGGTTCCCCACGTGGTTCCTCTGCACTAATCCATCTCTCTCTTGCACGCTTCCCCACGTGGTTCCTCTGCACTATCTCTCTCTTGCACGGTTCCCCACGTGGTTCCTCTGCACTGCTCTCTCTTGCACGGTTCCCACGTGGTTCCTCTGCACTATCCATCTCTCTCTTGCACGCTTCCCCACGTGGTTCCTCTGCACTATCCATCTCTCTCTTGCACGCTTCCCCACGTGGTTCCTCTGCACTATCCATCTCTCTCTTGCACGGTTCCCCCACGTGGTTCCTCTGCACTATCCATCTCTCTCTTTTCCCCACGCCTCTGCACTATCCATCTCTCTCTTGCACGGTTCCCCACGTGGTTCCTCTGCACTATCCATCTCTCTCTTGCACGCTTCCCCACGTGGTTCCCTCTGCACTATCCATCTCTCTCTTGGCACGCTTCCCCACGAGGTTCCCCTCTGCACTATGCATCTCTCTCTTGCACGGTTCCCCACGTGTTCCTCTGCACTATCCATCTCTCTCTTGCACGGTTCCCCACGTCTGCACTATCCATCTCTCTCTTGCACGCTTCCCCACGAGGTTCCTCTGCACTATGCATCTCTCTCTTGCACGGTTTCCTCTTGCACGGTTCCCATCTGCACGTTCCCCACGGGTTCCTCTGCACTATCCATCTCTCTCTTGCACGGTTCCCCACGTGGTTCCTCTGCACTATCCATCTCTCTCTTGCACGGTTCCCCACGTGGTTCCTCTGCACTATCTCTCTCTTGCACGGTTCCCCACGTGGTTCCTCTGCACTATCCATCTCTCTCTTGCACGCTTCCCCACGAGGTTCCTCTGCACTATCATCTCTCTCTTGCACGGTTCCCCACGTGGTTCCTCTGCACTATCCATCTCCTCTTGCACGGTTCCCCACGTGGTTCCTCTGCAACTATCCATCTCTCTCTTGCACGGTTCCCCACGTGGTTCCTCTGCACTATCTCTCTCTTGCACGGTTCCCCACGTGGTTCCTCTGCACTATCCATCTCTCTCTTGCACGGTTCCCCACGGTTCCTCTGCACTATCCATCTCTCTCTTGCACGGTTTCCCCACGTGGTTCCTCTGCACTATCCATCTCTCTCTTGCACGCTTCCCCACGTGGTTCCTCTGCACTATCTCTCACGGTTCCCCACGTGTTCCTCTGCACTTCTCTCTTGCACGCTTCCCCCGTGGTTCCTCTGCACTATGCATCTCTCTCTTCACGCTTCCCCACGAGGTTCCTCTGCACGCACGGTTCCCCACGTGGTTCCTCTGCACTATGCATCTCTCTCTCTTGCACGCTTCCCACGAGGTTCCTCTGCACTATCCATCTCTCTCTTGCACGGTTCCCCACGTGTTCCTCTGCACTATCCATCTCTCTCTTGCACGGTTCCCACGTGGTTCCTGCACTATCCATCTCTCTCTTGCACGCTCCCCACGAGGTTCCTCTGCACTATCCATCTCTCTCTTGCACGGTTCCCCACGTGGTTCCTCTGCACTATCCTCTCTTTCCCCACGTCCTCGCACGCATCTCTCTTTCCCCACGTGGTTCCTCTGCACTATCATCTCTCTCTTGCACGGTTCCCCACGTGGTTCCTCTGCACTATCCATCTCTCTCTTGCACGGTTCCCACGTGGTTCCTCTGCACTATCCATCTCTCTCTTGCACGGTTCCCCACGTGGTTCCTCTGCACTATCCATCTCTCTCTTGCACGGTTCCCCTCGCGTTCCTCTGCACTATGCATCTCTCTCTTGCACGCTCCCCACGAGGTTCCTCTGCACTATCCATCTCTCTCTCTTGCACGGTTCCCACACGTGGTTCCTCTGCACTATCCATCTCTCTCTTGCACGCTTCCCCACGTGGTTCCTCTGCACTATCCATCTCTCTCTTGCACGCTTCCCACGTGGTTCCTCTGCACTATGCATCTCTCTCTTGCACGCTTCCCACGAGGTTCCTCTGCACTATCCATCTCTCTTTGCACGGTTCCCCACGTGGTTCCTCTGCACTATGCCATCTCTCTCTTGCACGCTTCCCCACGTGGTTCCTCTGCACTATTCCATCTCTCTCTTGCACGGTTCCCACGTGGTTCCTCTCACTATGCATCTCTCTTGCCGTTCCCCACGTGGTTCCTCTGCACTATCCATCTCTCTCTTGCAGCTTCCCCACGTGGTTCCTCTGCACTATCCATCTCTCTCTTGCACGGTTCCCCACGTGGTTCCTCTGCACTCTCTCTTGCACGCTTCCCCACGTGGTTCCTCTGCACTATCTCTCTCTTGCACGGTTCCCACCTCTGCACTATCCATCTCTCTCTTGCACGGTTCCCCACGTGGTTCCTCTGCACTATCCATCTCTCTCTTGCACGCTTCCCCACGTGGTTCCTCTGCACTATCTCTCTCTTGCACGGTTCCCCACGTGGTTCTACCCGCCGGAGATTCGGAGGAGGGACCGAACGAGCCAGCTACCGCGCTGTGACCCGGATTTTGGGGTGACCTGAGTTGGTGTTTGGGCTTGATGCTTCATTTTAGTGGTGGTGGAGGCTGTGCATGTGAACATTTTTTTCTAGTATCACTGTGATTATCGTTTGTATTATCATGGCAATCATAACCATCATCATTACTACTAAGGATTCCTTCCGGTAGGCATTGGTCCTCCTCCTTTCTTTTTCTCCTCCTTCTCCTCCACCCCTTTTCCTCCTCCTCATCCTGCTCTTCCTCCTTCCCATCCCTTTCCTTTCCTTTTCCCTCTCTCTTTCCTCCTCTCTCCCTCTTTTCCTCCTGCTCCCCTCCCTTTTCCTCCCTCCTCCTCCCTCTCCCTTTTCCTCCTCCTCCTCCTGCCTCTCCCTTTTCCTCCTCCTGCTCCTCTCCCTTTTCCTCCTCTCCCTCCTCCTCCTCCACGAACCTTAACCAAGTCCATTAGTTTTCGGCGCTTAATGACCTTAAATAGCGTCGGAGAGCAAAGAGGCTTCTTGCTCGGCCTAATTACCTGGATCTCGTAACCGGCGACGTTTATTGCCTTTCCGCGGAGAGCGATGCGCGTGATGGTGCCGCCGCCGCTCTCTCAGGTGTTGTCTTAGGTGTTGTCTTAGGGGTTCCTTCAGGTGTTGTCTTAGGGGTTCCTTCAGGTGTTGTCTTAGGGTTCTTAGGTGTTGTCTTAGGTGGTTGTCTTAGGGGTTCCTTCAGGTGTTGTCTTAGGGGTTCCATCAGGTGTTGTCTTAGGGGTTCCCTTAGGTGTTCTCATAGGTGTTCTCATAGGTGTTCCCTTAGGTGTCCGTCAGGTGTTCTCATAGGTGTTCCCTCGGGTGTTCCCTCAGGTGTTCCCTTAGGTGTTCTCATAGGTGGGTGGTTCCAGGTGTTCCCTCAGGTGTTCCCTCAGGTGTTCCGACTGCCGCGGCTGGTCTCCGGGCCGCAGTCAAGAACAACCTCTTCCGAGCGCAACCTCCGAGTGCCGAGCAAAGTCTGGCACTCGTGATCCTCTTCCGGTAGCCCGAGGGAGAAGCGTCTGAGCTGCTGGTGTAGGATGAATGACGCGAGGTCTGACTGTTGTGTAGGATGAATGACGCGAGGGAGAAGCGTCTGAGCTGTTGGTGTAGGATGAATGACGCGAGGGAGAAGCGTCTGAGCTGTTGGTGTAGGATGAATGACGCGGTGGCCTCGTCGACACTCGGGAGATTTTCGTCGGGTCCCGCAGTCGGATCCCGGGTAAGAAGTGTCTTGGGTGTAGGCTGCGGTCCGGAGATAGGCGAGTCGGTTGTCAGGGTGGGGTTGGGAGGAACGGAAATAGGAACAAAGACAGAAGGGATGGTGGGGATAGGAATGGGAGGAGGAAGGGGAAGGGGAGAGGAGGAGGAAGAGGAGGAATGATTGGAGAATCGTTTGGCTGGTTTGATTAGTTTTCTTTTCATCTCTTTCTTTTTCTT